CATAAGTTTTGGGGACCAAAAACATACATAAAGAGCCAAATTATTTCTGGTTTACATTAAATATATCTATATTAAAAGAGCAACATGCAAATTGACTGCACCTCTGCTATGCCCAAGCCACACCCACCAGCCAATCAGAGTGACTATATGCAAATTAACCCATCCAAGATGGCAGCCGCAGCCATGGAGCTGGAGCCAGCAGGAGGCTTGGTTGCCCTGGCGATGGAGGAAGCCAAGTTTCCCACCTGCCCTGGCCAGCTGTGGCCTCCTCTCAAGGCAACAAAGTTTCAATTATAGAAGATAAATAAATCCCAGATACCTGCTTCCAGCCAGCCTCCACTGGGAGCTTGGGTGGCTGGGGGCCGTGGAAGCCTGCAAACAGCCATCAGCCCCTCACCCAGGATGGCCACACCCTCATGGGGTGAGGGTCTCCATTCGGGGGCTTAGCCAGCCTGAAAACAGCCATCAGCCCCTCACCCAGACTGGCCAGGCACCCCAGCAGGAACCACGATCCTGAAGGGGTTGTGGCCAGCATGAAAACGGCCCTCAGCCCCTCACCCAGGCAGGCCAGGCACTCCAGCAGGGATCCCCACTCTGAAGGGGCTGTGGCCAGCCTGCAAACAGCCATCAGCCCCTTACCCAGGCTGGCCACACCCTCATGGGGTGAGGGTCCCTACTAGGGGGCTTGGCCAGCCTGAAAACAGCCATCAGCCCCTCACTCGGGCTGGCCAGGCACCCCAGTGGGACCCCTACACTGATCCAGGACACCCTTCATGGCAAACCAGCTGGCCCCCACCCATGCACCAGGCCTTTATCCTATATAATAAAAGGGTAATATGCAAATTGACCCTAACAGCAGAACGACTGGAAATGACTGGTCATTATGACAGACACTGACCACCGGGGGCAGACGCTCAATGCAGGAGCTTCCCCCTGGTGGTCAGTGCGCTCTCACAGGGGAGCTCTCCTCAGCCACAAGCCAGGCTTATGGCTGCCAGCACAGCGGTGGTGGTGGGAGCCTCTCCTGCAAAGGATTTCCGACTGCAACTTAGGCCCTCTCCCCACTGGCAAGTGGACATCCCCCGAAGGCTCCTGGGCTGCCAGAGGGATGTCTGACTTCCAGCTTAAGCCAAATCCCCCAGGGAGCAGGCCTAAGCCAGGGGGTGGTCATCCCCCAAGGGGTCCCAGACTGGGACAGGGCACAAGCTGGGCTGAGAGACCCCCTGAGTGCATAAATTTTTGTGCACCGGGCCTCTAGTGTGTGTGTGTGTATATATATATATATATATATATATATATATATATATATATAGTATCATTTATATATAAATAATCTTTATTGTTGAGAGTATTACAGATGTCCCCCTTATTCCCCCATTGTGCCCCTCCGCCCAGTTTCTGCCCTGCCCAGGCCTTCACCACACTATTGTTTGTGTCCATGGGTTATGCACACATGCATATAAATTCTTTGGTTAATCTCTTCCCACCCACCCTGCCCCCCTTCCCTCTGAGGTTCTTCAGTCTGTTCCATGTTTCCATGCCTCTGGATCTACTTTATTTGTCAGTTTATTTTGTTCATTAGATTCAAAGGACCACAGCCCTATTGGTCTTTTGGGGTGGAGCAACCCAGTGAAATGTTGCCTTAATTTTAATGAAGTAAAATTAAAATTCAGTACCTGAACCACTAGCCACCTCTAGGTCCTCAAGGTCAATGGGGTCATGGTCTTCCTTTTGGATGGTGTAGGTGTAGAAAGTCTCCATCACTACAGGAAGTTTTGTGGAGCAGCCTGGTTACAGTGCCTTTTATGATAGGGCAGCTTCCACCAACTCCTAACTGAGCTCCATTCAAACATCTAACTTAAAAACAGACAAGTTTAGGTGAGCTGTGTTTTTGCTGACTAACTCACTTTTCTTTGACGTTTGTTCTGTAGTTTCAGCATTGCCTGCACACTGTTTGCATTTCTTCCTTAGGATGCAGGCACTGCCCAATGTCCGAGAGCTCCTGCTCTCCCTCTGGATGGTTGGCGTCGGTGTCTCGTCATGATGTGTCTGGCTGGGCTTTTCTCTGTCTGTTCCCATTGGGGCTCAATGAGATTCTGAGATCTGTGAGATCATAACTTTTATCCAATTGGGAAGATTAGGGGCCATTTAAAAAAATACTTTTGGCCCTTTGATATTCCACATGCAAGTATATTAAAGGGCTTGGCCCTTGTCACATAGGTTACAGGTGCTGTTTATTATTTCTTTCCCATGTTTTATCACTATGACACATTTGGGATCTTTATTCTCTGTTTCTACAACTTCAAATTCACAAATTGGTTCTTTGGAAGAGTTTCATCACTTACAATAGCCATCAAGTATATTTTTGTATGTTTGATAATATAGCTTTCACCTGATTCTCATTTATATCTTAATTTCTCCCCTAGTTTGGGGTCAATTGTGTGAATCTTAGGGTCTCTAGGAGTTTTGGATTGGATGCTAAAGATTTTACATTTTATGCTATTGAGTATCTGGCTATAATTTCTTAAGAGTGTTGTGCTTTGCTCAGGTAGACATTAAGATGCTTTGGGTTTAGTTTGACCATCTTGAGACTTGTTTTTGAGGTTTGTGAGGGGCCTCCCCGAGTACCTCTCACTGTAGGGACCTTTATCCTTCTTAGCGAGGCCTGGCCCTTCAGCGTCTAACTTTGTGCACCTGGAACCAACTTGGACTTGCCACTGATGCTGGTGGGAACTTGAATGTCCTTGGCCTCTGTGTGTCCGGAACCCGTCAGCTCACAGCTTTCCAGTATCTGTAGCCAGCCTCAGCAGTTCACCCTTGCATATACCTCAGGCATCAGCACCAATTTGGGGACTGCTGAGATGGTTTCTGGTGTCTTTTCTGCACAGCTCTCTTCTCTCTAGGAACGTGGCCCACAGGCCCCTGGATACAGTGACACAGTAAGAACTGAGAGTACAGCTGTGTCCTCATATTAAATCTGATGCAGGTCATTGTCAAAGATGAACACAGGGTTCTGTGATCATGGATTGGACCTAATCTAATAGTTCTTGTGTTTGCACCTTAACCAACTCATCCCTGTCCAGGAAATTAAATGCTAACCATACAAATTGTGATATTTTTGGAAATACTCTACAGTATTTCCAAAAATATCACATAAAAGCAAACCCAAAATCTTAGTTCTGTGGATTATATTACTGATCTTGGCCTGGAGGGGTAAGACAGGTAGCCATCAATCCATCCAGAGCCCCAAAATGGGCCTTTTAGTCTAATTTGCTCCCTCAGTGTGATTAAAGTGTACTAGGGTATATGACGAAGCCAAATGTTACACTACATATAAGCACCTTGATTTTTCTTGTTTCAGTTGATTCTCAGAACATTTGTCTTAAGATATGCAATAGCTCAGATTACAAAATTTTAAACAAATGATCAGCTTTTTATCCTTTCCATCCTAACCATGACTGCCTCAAATCACTCATAAAGAAACCTCTTCAATGTAGCTAAGCGAGAACAAGGCAAGGCGGCAATAAGTTCTTACTTAAATGACGTCATGCTCTTCATTGTTGTGTGAATGACTATTTATGACATTCTCCTTCATTATAAGGAGGCATGTAATGTTGATGGTCCAATATTTAGTAAAAATTTAATCACTGGAGCTGTATAAGGAGCAGTCTAATTGGAAACATTTTTATGTTACCCCGTTGCTCCTGATTTCAGAGGTGGCTGGTTTCAGTGAATAGTAAGTTTTCTAGCAGATCCAATTCGAATGCCCTTAACACTTCCAAACTTTAATGCTCAAATGAGGAATGTCATTTAAAATTATTTTTTTAAATGAGGCACTTTAATTATTTTTCTAACTGTGAGACTGTAAAAGAGATTCTTCAGATACAAATATATTTGTCACTGATAAAATGTATCAATTAGCTAATGGTATTCAATGATTGTCAATGTCAGAGACTATGTCCTTGTGGAACTTCAGATTCCCTATATTGGTTTCTTTAAGTTGACAGGCACTTTAGGAGGGAATATCAGGCAGTTAAAAATAGGTGCTTAATAAACATTGCTGAATGAATGAACGAATGAATAAATGAATGAATGAATTTGCAAAGCCTGGGAAACCAATGCTGCAGTGCTGGAGTACTTAGGAATAAAAGTTTCATTGAGCTTAATTAAGCACAATTAAACACTATGCCAGGCTCACAAAATAGTTTTTGGAAGACTAGCTGTATTTAGGCAACATAGGAGCCGTTCGTTAAATGAATTAAAAATGAGGTTGAGAGGAGAAATTTCAACACAGATACCCAGTCCACTAATTTGCTAATCATTGATGAAAACTAGATACTCAAGCAAATTTTTTTTTGAGGGCCTGGGGGTGGGAACTGACATGTGATATTGGTTCAATTAAAGAGGATGTACAGAATTCATTCTGGTTCATTTCTTTATGTTTTCTTAATATTGAGTTTTCTATTGAATTTTTTATTTTTAACGCCTTTTTCCCTTTTCTGCAGCATTTAATGGCATGGATCACTAGTTTCCGATAGAAGGGTTCTGAGTCTGAAATAAACAATATGTCTACCTGTTATAAAAAATGTAGAGATAAAAATGCATGTTCTCAACCATGAATGGAGGTCATGTCCCTATATTCCATCATAGCTGTGTTGGAGTTTTTTTGTTGTTGATAAAATAAGGTGGCTTCTTCCTCAAACTTGCTTCTAAAAAATTGATGGACTTAAAAATACAAAGGCCGAATCATTATACAGGGCTCAATTGTAGAAAAAGAAATCAGGAGCTCATTTCTAACACTATGCTAAGTGATAATAAGTAGTTTTCTCCCACATTTCTGCACTGCAATGCAGTGTACCCTACTAAATTTTCTTCTCAAGAAAAAGTCATCCTAGGGATTTGAGATCACCTGGTTCATTATTGAAAAACTGCTCAGAGCCAGTGATGTCCACTCCATCTGACTACCTTTTAATTGTTTTTTGTTTTCATTTTTGTTTCAGGATTAAAACACGGTGACCCAAACATGACTGGCAAAACACAGACCAGCAACGTCACCAATAAGAATGACCCCAAGTCCATCAACTCCCGGGTTTTCATCGGCAATCTGAACACAGCCATTGTCAAGAAAGTTGACATTGAAGCCATTTTTTCCAAGTATGGGAAGATCGTCGGATGCTCCGTTCACAAAGGTTACGCATTCGTGCAGTACATGAGTGAGCGGCACGCGAGAGCAGCGGTGGCCGGAGAAAACGCCAGGATCATCGCAGGCCAGCCCCTCGGTAGGTGCTGGCCAGCTGCATGCCCCTTGCTGGCATCATCTCTCGCTGCACTGGGTACGGGCTTCGGGCTTCGTGTGTAAGGCCAGCATGGGGTAACACCTGGCCCTTGTTTAACCCCTTACGGTGCTTATATATTTAAAATTTATAGTAGTTTCTTCTTTGTTCTCATATCGTTTTAGATATATGAGTCTTATTTTCTTTACACGTCTTTGAACTTGGGATCGAGTTTGCTTTGTAATACTTGTTACCTCCGCCAATCCTAGCAGAGGCAGCAAATGGAAAATAGGCCGTGGGTTTCAGGTGATCTGATTTGAAGCGCCGTCTGTCTTCCAGGAGACACTATGTTATGCAAAAACAATAAAATAGCTCCATGAGCCGGCTGGTGCAAGAATGTCCAACCTGCAGAGAGTGTTTGTAAGAGTTCCCTGGCGCCAAACTGATGATACTGCTGGGAAGCGAGACTGACATGCTCTGGAGAAGGACAGTTTTGCAGGATTGTTTTATACATTTGGGATGAAGGGGGCGGGGGGGCATAAGGAAGATGACATGAAGGTGGAGAAAGCCAGGTCCGGGGGAGCTAAGGAGACTGTTTCCTTGAGGGAGGTGACACCTCTGAGGTTCTGAAAGGAGGAGGCCCCTGGCGATGCCCTGGCGGGGAACGTGGGCGCACAGGAGCGCGGACAGGACTGGTCGCGGACCTTTCAGCGAGAAGCTATGGGCCTGGGCAGGACTACCCAGTGACCTGCCAGGAGGAAATTATGAGCAGATGACCCTGCGAGGTCACTTCCTGCCACTGGACTTGTCAGCTTATTATAGAACCCGATTAATCCAATACTCATACTACTTGTTGTTAGGGGGCTCATGTATTTTTCTCATTTTCTGTTTTTACTTTTTTGGAAGAAGGGATAGAAAAATAGCAAAAGGAGGTGAATTCTCAGGACTGACAAAGGAATAGAACCTACTCTTTCTTATCGAGTCAGGAATCGTGTGCAGTGGTCAGAATTATGCCTAATGTCCATATATAGCTTTTTCAAAGAAAAGAGAAGAATATAGTCTGAAGTAAAGTGAAAATATTTAGAAGATATTTTGTAATTAATATATAGATAAAAAGTAAAAATTAACCTATTTTTACATGAAGAAAAAAATACATTGAAAACATCAGTGAGTCCCTAACTTATGACCAGATGCATATATGGAACTGATTATAAATCTTGTCTCAGATAGCTATAAATATCTCAGCTTCACATGCCCAGTGCTAACTCTTGATTTCCTGAACCCCAACCTGTGTCACCCCCTTGCTCTCCATCCCAATAAATGGAACCCTCATTTATCCAGTTTTTCAAACAATAACCGAGGCATCAACCCTGACTCTCCTCTTCCCCACGGCACTCCAAATATAATTCATCATCACCTTTCTTGCCCTGAGTATGTCCCAAAACCAATCACCTTTGAAAGCTCTACCCATAGGCACCTGGCACTGGCCACCGTGCCTCAGGGGGACGTAGTAAGCCTCTGACTGGTCTGCCCCTTTCCACTCTTGTCACAAGTCCCTTGAGAAACATCAGTGAGAACGTGCTCCTAACCCTCCAATACCTTCCCATCTTTCCTGGAATAAGATTTATCTTCCATCCACACCTTCAGTGCTCCACCCACCACATCACTCCCTCATCTCCATCAGAGTGTCCACTCTGCCCTCTCGGACCATTGGCGATGATAGTGAACTCACTGCACCTCCACCATTCCCAGACTCCTACCTCACAGGCTTTGGACTTACCATTCCCTCTGCTCAGGAGATGGGACTTGGCCAATTATTTCCCCTGGCTTTATTGTGGGCTGTGCTCACACCATGTGGCCAGGGAGGCTCCCCAGAGAAGTTCTGCCTTTTATTGTCTTGTTACATCCGTATTTATACCAGTTGATTTTAATCCTGTCAATTTCTATTGCAAAGGTTAGGGCGTTTCTTATCTCCATTCCAGGGAGTAAAGATTATGTAGCTTAAGCGTGATTGTTTGTAGTTAAAGTGACTAACTACCCGCCTGGCACTTAGTTAAGGAGTTTTATCCCCTCCCTGACTTCAGGAAAAAATCCCTACCTGGGGAAACAACCTTTCTCGGAGAGGTGACCTTGGTTAAAACACACAGCGCTAAGGGGAGCAAACATATTAAGAACAGTATGCTATATACGCCAGGTCCCTTGAAACATATGCTGTGCAGATGTTTCTTTCCTGGATCAACTGTGTCAAGCAGCAAGGATGGACCGGCTTCCAGCACCTGGCCAGCCTCCAGCACCCCTAAAGGGAGTGGCACACCTGTGGGTATCATCCCACCTTCAGTTAATTGAGCTGCTTTCATACATTGGCAGCACACCTTTGCACCACAGGAAGAAGGGATATCCCAATTTATCAATGTACCACTGGCTTCCTGACTTTGATATGCAAGGGGGGTCCCTCAGCTTTCTGTGGAGAAGGACAGTGGGCTACATTTGATCCAAGTCAGAATATAACTGTAAAATTCTTCTGAAATGGAAAAAATATTTTTAAATAAATATTTATTGTTCAGACTATTACAAATGTTCCTCTTTTTTCCCCCCATAGCTCCCCTCCACCCTGTTCCCACCCTACCCCATGCCCTTACCCCCCCCCATTTTCCTCGTCCATAGGTGTAAGATTTTTGTCCAATCTCTTCCCGCTCCCCCCACGCTCCCTTCCCCCCTGAGAATTGTCAGTCCACTCCCTTTCTATGCCCCTGATTCTATTATATTCACCAGTTTATTCTGTTCTTCATATTTTTTATTTAGTTGATTTTTAGATTCACTTGTTGGTAGATATGTATTTGTTGTCACTTTATTGTTCATAATTTTTATCTTTACCTTTTTCTTCCTCTTCTTAGAGAATACCCTTCAGCATTTCATATAATACTGGTTTGGTGGTGATGAACTTTAGTTTTTTTTGTCTGTGAAGCTCTTTATCTGACCTTCAATTCTGAATGATAGCTTTGCTGGGTAGAGTATACTTGATTGTAGGTTCTTGCTATTCATCACTTTGTATATTTCTTGCCACTCCCTTCTGGCCTGCATAGTTTCTGTTGAGAAATCAACTGACAGTCATATGGGTATTCCCTTGTAGGTAACTAACTGTTTTTCTCTTGCTGCTTTTAAGATTCTCTCTTTGTCTTTTGCTCTTGGCATTTTAATTAGGATGTGTCTTGGTGTGGTCTTCTTTAGATTCCTCTTGTTTGGGGTTCTCTGTGCTTCCTGGACTTGTAAGTCTATTTCTTTCACCAGGTAGGGGAAGTTTTCTGTCATTATTTCTTCAAATATCTTTTCAATATCTTGGTCTCTCTCTTCTTATGGCACCCCCATAATTCAGATGTTGGTATGCTTGAAGTTGTCCCAGATACTCCTTACACTATCTTCATATTTTTGGATTCTTTTTTCTTTTTGTTTTTCCAGTTGGGTGTTTTTTGCTTCTTTGTATTTCAAATCTTTGCCTTGATTCTTGGGATCCTCTCATCTGCTGTTGGATCTCTGTATATTATTCTTTATTTCAGTCAATGTGTGCTTAATTTCTGATTGGTCCTTTTTCATATCCTTGAGGGTCTCACTAAACTTCTTGGAGGTTTCTAGAAGATTCTTGAGTAACCTTATAACAGTGGTTTTGAACTTTATATCCAGTATTTTGCTTTCATCCATGTCTTTCATTTGTGACTTGTTTCTTTGTCTCCACATTTTGGCTGCTTCCCTGTGTTTGTTTCTATGTACTGTGTAGCTGCTAAGTCTCCTTGAGTTGATAGAGTGGTTTTATGTGATTGGTGTCCTATAGGGCCCAGTAGCTCAGTCTCCCCAGTCACCTGAGGTGGATGCTCTTAGTGCACCCCTTTGTGGGCTTTTGGCACAGTCTTGTTGTAGTTAACCCTTGATTGCTGTTGGTATCACTGGAAATAATTGACCCCCAGACCAATTGGCTGTGAGGACCAGTTGTATCTACAATGGGAGAACTGCTGTGTTGGAAACACCATTATGGGGAAGGACTTGCTTCAGTGGGGCTTTGGTGCTAACTGAATCTGCCCCTTAAGTATGTATCTTATGGATGTGAAGAGTTATAATTCATTATGGTCTCACTCTGACCACTGGGTACACTGGCTCTTGGCTCTCCAAGGAGGTGCAAGGTCAGCCACTGTCTGGGGCCGCTGAGCAGGAGCTGCAGAGACATCTGCAGATTCCTCTTCTTTGTATGGGGTTTGGAAGTGCCAGATGAGTCCCAGCTATGAAGCAAGGCCGCTGCTGCTGCCAGGTATTAGGCCTTCTTTTGGAATCTCTGGGGATGTCTGACCCAGCTGCAGTTTGTTTTAAGGGAAAGGACAGGGCATTCATATGCAAAAGCCGATGCACATAGCTTCGTTGGGGTTGAAAGTAAATTGGGTGGGAGGGGGTCTCTGGGAATCACCGGGGCAGAGCAAACGGCAATGGCTGCCCTGAACCAGAGAAGTCCCTGGTTCTCTGCATCCTGTACACCCTTTCAGAAACAATGGTCGCTGGGAGCACCTCTAAGACTAAGCTGCCCTCATGTTCCTGTCCCCATGCCAGACAGTTCACTTTCTCCCCGTATGTGTCTGGGTCCCCCAGAGTCTCACCTGGAACTGGAGTTCAGAGCAAGCTCCTTGTATCTCCCTCCCAGTTTAAAGAACAGCACATCCAGATGCCAGAATTTTCCGAGGTTCTGGGTAGTAGTTGTTCTGCCTCTTAGTTGTAATTTTGATGTGGTTGTGAGAGGCAGCAAGTGTAGGTGATTACCTATGCTGCCATCTTGGTTTTCCGACCAGAAAAAAATATTTTTAAAGCATATTTTCTATAATGTAAAGCTCCTTACAAAAATGCATTTTAGTTAATGCATTTAGTTTAATAAAATTTAAATTTAAAGAGGTAAGATACTGATGTAGCCTCTTAATATATCATTGAATCTGGATTCTACATTTTGTTAATGTTAGAAAATACCATATCTA